ATCAATTAAAAAGAAAACTTTCGTCGCACTGTCCATCACAAAAAGACGGCGCGTCAAATGGCCTGAATCGCTCACCGTCATCAATGACTGGCCACTGCATTTCTCTGCTGTTGCGCCGAGCAGGGCGGTATGCACCTATGGGTATCCGGTCCGAAACGCCAATACCGATACCAACAAAGCCCGTTCTTCGGGTAACCACGGCCACGCGAACGCGGATGCGATCGCGCTCGATCATGGCCGCGGTTCCGGCGAGGCCGATCTCTACCGATCGCCTCAATTGACCTTCGAAAAGCTGTCAATTGCTCCGCCAAGGTCTCCTGTTGCAAGGTCAATCATAATTGTGCCAACCTCACTTCTAACTTTGCTTCCATTGAAGCTGCATCGTTTACGTTTTGGACTGCGTAAGCTCGTGTAGCCTCAGCTACTTGAAAAGCCGGCGCCCGGGTGACTTCCACGATTGCGTCCATGATGTCCGCGAGCTGATCGACGTATCCGCCGTCCGAGTAACCAAATGCGGCTGAATATATACCGGCAGTCGGCTTAACCAGATCGTTCTTAAGACTTGGTGCCCGACGCCGTTTCCCGCGAGACTACGAAGATGTCGCAAAAACTGGTTTTCTATTGTCGATTTCTTCGTGCTCGAGCAATCAACGAGTCTTATGTTCTTGTGACAGACTCAAACGTTTTATGAGTTCTTCAACGTTTCATACGGACGCTCCGCAGGCGGATTCATAATTATATCGCGGTTGTATAATGGCCCAATCGCAGTCAACGTATCCAAATTTCGTCGCATCAGTAGTTATTCCAGCTTGGAAACCGCGATCCACAATATTAAACCAGAGCTCCGGATCGGCCGAAGTTAACTCTGGCATTCGCACACCAACACGGCTCACCTCAGGGCCAGGCATAAAAAATCTTGGTCTACCTTCCAGATTCACTCTCGATTGCGGCACCTGCTGCTGCTCCGGCACGGGTCGGCTCATCACATCATCGTCGCGCATCATTAACTTCTTGTCTCCGACTGTCTTGCATTGTCCGCAGTTTATCGTATTCAGTTCACCGTCACTGGCGAATTCCGACAGCGTTCCGATCCGACCGACTTGTTCAAATGTAAAAAAAATTTTTCGAACTCGTCATTAAAATAAAATAAAATTGATAATCACGTCGAGATCATCACTTTAATATTTCGGATGTCGTGTTAAATTTATTCGTGGTTTGAGGATAAAGGATTTTGTGTCCGTGGCGGTGATAAGTTACTCGATAATCGTGAATATATCAATTCGTTTTTAACTTTACAGTAGAAATACGTTTTATCTCTTCGGAATCTCACAGAGAATCTCACAGAGAATCTTTCTCGAATCTCTCTTCGTTTTTCCTTGCGAGAACATTTCGATACTTCTCGAACCTTCTTTCGAAGCACAATATTATTCCGCAGATCGTTCCCCCTTATCCTTATATTTATACTTTATAATTCGTTTAAAACCGCCGATGATAATAATTAATAATTATTAATTACTATTTTGTACATGCATTTTCTAATCCTGCTCGACGATGCGAGGAAGGAATTTCCTCGGCCTGTCAAAAAAAAGCAGCAGAGGCATTTAAATGCCTCTATTGTTTCGCCAAACTGCTGTGTGTACAGGCAATATTATCCGCGTGTGTAACGGCCTGTCTGTCGTAATATTGTATGCGTGCCTTTCTTCGAAATATAACGCATCTGCGTCTTCCATAATTGTGGCGATAATTGTCGCCATACCGTATTCATATCATTCACTAAAATTATAAATTTATAATTTATTTTGTACAATAAAAGAGATAAATAATAAATTTATGTTTGATTCAATCAATTCATTTATTTATTTTGTAATTTAACATATATTTTCTATGTTATACATTTTTATTTTTTTATCTAACATTATATATGTGTAAATGTTAAAGTTTAACATTAAAATTTGATTGTTTCTGATCGCAACATAAGTAGTCTTATGCCCGTTTCCATTAACGTAAATTAACTTCAATTTATTTTTTATTTTTTTGTTAATTTTTAGAACTAGAAAATGAAGAGTTAGTTGAACCGAGATTAAAGTTAATCTGCATTAGTGGAAATGAGCATTAATGAAATACTTTTATTACTTTTAACAATACTTATTTTCATTCCTGTCTTTAAGATCAGTATGTTGATTCTTATATTCAAGATCGTCTTAAGTATAGTCTTAAGATGTCAACCAATTAGAGGGCCGCATTGATATCTAAAGACGTTACTTAAGATGGTCTTAAAATAAGAACTTAAAAAAAGTATAAATACTTTTATATATGAGTATTTTATATATGAGATACTTTTTTATACTGGTCTTAAAAAGTTTTTTTTCAATATAAAACTAAAAATTGATCTGTAAAAATTTTGCGCGCGTACGTGCGTGCGTGCGTGCGTGCGTGCATATACGTGAAAAAATTTTTCATATATATAATATATAATTATATATGAAATATGTCTAGCCATTCTAAATCCTTCACACACACATTCTTTTGTAAAGTTACTGTTTAGTGTAAGAAAAATAATAATAATAATGAGAAAACAAAAAATCATTAAAAGGATAATTTTCGCATTGTTTTAAAAAGAAAGCAATTATGGAGAAATTTAAAAGTTGCTTATATTTAATTATATATAAATCATTAGATACAATTATACAGGAGCAATTTGTTTAAATTTTCCAAACTTGATTTTATTTAAAAAAACATTGCTATAATTATCCTTTTGATTATTTTTTACGTTTTATCATTATAATTTTTTTCTTATATGGTATTAAAGAGTATAAAACGGTAACAAAGAAAGAAGAATGTATAGACATGTATGGACATATTTTATATATAATTATATATATTTATTTACGTTCATATATAAATAATTTGTCATATAAATTTAGAGTTCGAGTTCACAAGTAGTCATATATTATATCCAGAGCATATAAATATGCAAAATTATTTAATTTTTATATTTAATTTTATATAGCAAATTCTGAAAACGTATACAAAAAATGTAATATAATTTTAACATCAAATTCATGTTTAATGAACAAAATTATAATAATAAACTTAATCTTAAACTTTAAATAATCTCAATTCGAATTAATAAGGTTTTTATTCTGTAGCTCTAACGAGTAACGATATCGTTATATTGTCGTTGCGCAGGTTTCATACATGATAAAAAAGCTGTACGCCAATAATACAATGACATACTGTCATTAATAAAAGTTATAAAATAACTAAATAAGGATTTAAAAATCGATAAATAATTATAAAAAAAATATCGCACAACATCCGCTCACGAAGTTACGTGATGCGATCGAGCTCTAGACAACCAATCCAGATCGCAGAAAAGAGGCAACAATGAATTCGATTTATACACATATTTTATTATAGAATTATTTTTTTATTCTTTTCGTTATTGTTTAGAATATATTTACAAAATCGCTTTGTATAAAAATAATGCAAAATGTTCTAATTATTTTTTTTACATTTTTAATAACTTTATATATAATAATATGCTATATAAATAACATCTAACTTTGACTGTACACTTTGATGCTTCTTCTTGTATTCAATTAATTTATTAATACATATTTATTATACTGTTCGACAAATTCAAACTTTTTTTCTAAACCACAAATAGACCCAATTAGCAGACAACGTTTTTAAAAGTATTATGTTTTTTAAGTAATTTATTTAATGTAAAAAATATTTAATAAATATTTAAAATATATTTTTTTTATTGTGTGCTGATTGCGAAATCAAGTGATTCTTATAAATTTTTGATTGTTGAAAATCCGTGAATAAAATTGCTTTATCACGTCAAATTTTTTAGAAAATTGATACTAAATATGCAAAAAATGGCATTATTTGTGTTTCTTTGAACTAAAATGTTTTAAAAACGTGACACGATAGAGCAATTTCATTTACGGATTCGTTTTCAGCGACAAAAGATCCATAAAAGTCACTTATTTAATTGGCGGCAAGAAGCAACAGTTACATTAAAAAGAAGGAAACTTAAATAAATATAATCTTTTGAGGACTGCTCATACAATTTGAATAATCTCCTGCATGTAATGATTTGTGAGATTTGATCATTATCCGAAATCAACATTATCACATATAATTTGTTTAAACAATTATTATTTAAACAAAAATTCGAATAAAAATAACATAATTGAAAAAAAATTTGTACGTAAATATTACTGCATTATTTTTCCGCTTTCTCCCATTTGTTGTAAAAAATACAAAACAATATGATTATTGTTGGAAAAGTGATAATTTGCATTAAGCTAATTCACGCTAGATGATGTGGATTCATAACAAATTTTGTTAGATGGCGTTATCTTACGATAGTCAGCTTTAAGAGATTGAATATTATTGTTGCTCGACCTCTTTTCCTAGTGGTGCAAACGAATGTGATTGTAAGGCCTTGCTACGATATAAAATCGTTACAGATAAGTTTAGAATAAGCTTTGTAAAAAATGATTTTATATAAATATTTCATTAATTATTTATATGATATGTATTAATAGATTTCAATTGAATAATTTAAATGTTTGATGTTGCATTCAGAGCAATATATTAAGTTCCGTTAAGTTCTTATTTTAACAATTATCTTTCTCTTATATTGATTAAATTTAAATATAATTGCTTCAATCACATCGAATTAATATATCTTTTAAAACAAGTAAATTTCTCTCATAAGTTTTTTAAAAATTATTTTAAATTGTATAAGCGATCCTCAAAGTGTTATATTATTTATATACGGATTTAAGTTTTTTCCTTTTCATTGTAACTATCTGCTTCTTGCATAAAGCAGGATTCATTTTCAACCACAAAAAATCTACAAGAATTTGGTTCTGTTTGTGATCTAAAATTGATGTCAGACAGCGATATTACATAACATTGTCAATTTATATATTATAATTATTTAAAAAATATTCGTATATTTGTATATATTGTAATTGCAGACGTTTAGGCCAAAGAAAAAGTTTGCTCACGGAACATTGCGTTACTCTTTACACAAGCAAGCTCAAGCTTCTCTCAATTCTGGAATCAATCTAAGATCTGTTGTTAAATTGCCTCCCGGAGAAGATATGAATGATTGGATCGCCGTTCATGGTATAGAAAATGTTCAATAAAAATAAACATTTGAAATTATATAAAAATTTTATTAAAAATACTTATGTATTTTCTTGGTTTTATTATTACTTTTATATTGTATATTTGACAAGTAAAATATTTTTTATACTTTAATATCACTTTTAAAAACATCTTTACACGGAGAGAATACTGCAAATATGTTTTTCTGTCTTTTTTAGTTGTAGATTTTTTTAATAGAATAAATCTTATATATGGTACTGTATCCGAATATTGCGATTCAGCGTCTTGTCCAACAATGAGCGGTGGAGCACGTTTCGAATATTTGTGGGCAGACGGTGAAAAATATAAGAAGCCAACAGCATTACCAGCGCCTCAATATGTTACTCTTCTTATGGACTGGATTGAAGCTCAAATAAATAACGAAACAGTTTTTCCAGTATCAACAGGTTTTACATCTGTTTTACGATACTATTTAATATCGATTTAGTCACTTAATTTAATCCTGTTTTATGTTTTTTACATGGATGTATAAATTTTTTTTTATTACAGATGTGCCATTTCCCAAAACGTTTGTGCCACTATGTAGAAAAATCTTGACGCGACTTTTTAGAGTTTTTGTCCACGTGTATATCCATCATTTTGATCGCATTGTAGCAATAGGAGCAGTAAGTATATATTAATATATCTGAAGTACTTTATTATTTAGTGTTTTACTACATCACAGAGATCTTTGAGTAATATTATGACTTTAATCAAACAATAAAAGGGCAATGATCCACGGCAATTAGTATTAATAGTGTATTTAATATTTACAATAGTATAATTAATCTTTTATGATCACACTTCGAAAAAGCCACACGATGGTTACTCTGAGTTAAAATGACTCGACTCATCTTTAAAGTGTTACCGAAATCGATAATACTAATTGCAATAATTAAAAAAAATACAATATATAATTTCATCCTTTACAAAAATGGAACAACGGTGTTTTAATGAAAAATTTAATTTTAATACTAAAAAAAAACATATTAAGTTCGAAAAAATATGCTTTTTTACTTAAAAAATTATAACTTTTTAAATTTGTAATATTTTCAAATGTAGTTTTAGTTTGGTACTCTTGAGATGATTTAAAAAAAAATAGTTTCATGGCGTTTCAAAAAAGATATTTATTTTGAAAATAGAAGATGATCATTTTTAGGTGAAAAAAAAGATGAAATTTGGGTAAAAGCTATTTATTATTGGTTTAAATTATTATTAATGTAAAAACTATTATTATTATTATACTGAAGACAAATATAGGTAAAAAACGTAAAATACATAGAAAATACAATAAAAACATTATTCTTTGCTACAGTAATCTCAGTACACATATAGAATACATTCATATCTCAGTACACAAATAGAGTCTGCTTTCTAAATCTGAATCAGTGGATAATCACCGATTTAGTATCAAATATTCCACTTAATTAATGAATGAAATGTGATATCCCTAACCTATAGCAAACCTTACTTCAGTGTATAAGTATAGCGCATTTAACGTATATGCTATTGTAAGATTGGGATTACAATGTGTTAAAACGTGCAAATATGGTATTTTATATAATGCTCAAATTTCTATTCTTTTATGGTTGAATTTTACTGTGATTATCCAGTGCCAAATGTGCTAATATGATATTGTTGGGTATAAAAATGTACGTCAGCACGAGAGCATGGGCTCTTGCACCGTAATTGCGATTTTCAAATGATGAATACTCAGTAACATTATTAAGTTTATTGACTTATTAACTGATACAAATGTTAGACAGAAAGCACAGTAACGTGATACTATTCGCGTTGGTAGACGCGTACGAGAGGATCTCGATTTCTGATACTCGCGATCTGTAAGAAGACTAACTTCATATGCTCAGTATTGTGGTAGCGAGAAGACTGATCGCCGGTTCGGCGATCCCCACGATTTCGGATTCGTTTTCCGAAAATTCCCGATTTTTATTTTTCTTGGCGTTGGTGAGATCAGTAGAACCGCCACTTCTTTGATGGCGACTAAATCAAAGATGCAGAGCCTTTATGATGAATGATTAGCTATCGAAGGCCGTGGGAGCGCGAAATTAAAAACGCACCAATTTCCTCTGATACGCCGCGTGATCGCCAAGAAGAATAAAAGCACATTCGCTTGTCTTAATGTGTCGCATGTGTCTATGTATCGGGCTCGATATTATTTCTAACGCATACGCGTACCAGATATGCTGATAATTCAGTACTAAGTATGCCATTTCAGTAGATTATCCATTGATTCAGATTTAGAGAATGTGTTTATCATACATAGGTCGTAGACACGACGGACATTCTTTCTTGATCGTTTCTTTTCCCAATTCTTCCCAAGTAGCACATAGCATTTACAAAGTGTTAACAAAGCTAAAAAAGTGTATATAATCGCTTTTTTAGTGTTTTACAAGCGCTGCTGTGCTGTGCTAGGTTACTTGAAAGACACAAGTCACATTTTATTTATTTTTGCAATTTAATACAAAAATGTAAATCATAAATTTATTGACGCGTTGGTTACACTTACTGACATTTTAACTCGAGAAAAAAATGTTTTTTGCGTGAATGGCTGCTAGACGCATATTAATAGTCCGAATAAAAAGCTAAGCATTTCTATTGATAATTGAAACTTCAAACCTCTAATAGATAAGTGCTCTTCTGAACGCAGGAAGATTTTAGAATTTAGTGTGAAAGACAATGCTTGGGTCATTTTGATCCATAAAGGGTTAAACAAATTCGATAATTTCAACAACATAAATGATCACAAATTTATACAATTTTATGGATCTTTATTCCTATTGATTGTATTTTCACATGTATGGTTCAATAAGGTTCTTATTATTTATATTACGTTGCCTGAAATAAAGACGTTTGTTTCCATATATATATTAATTTTTGCGAAAAATATTACTAATTATAAGATCTCAATGGACGAAAGACTTAGAATGCTCGTATGGAATTCGGGTTCGACTACCGGACGAGGTAATATTTTTTGCAGGTATATATATTTACAGATTTTCACCATATTAACTGTGTTTCTAAAAAAAAAGGGACCCAATTTCCTCCTCCGATCTTAATAAGCTTTTAATATATTATTCCCAGACAAAAATAAGCAAGACGTATTTTTTTGTACATGTCCATTTTCACTTTCAAAAGGTAAAATACCCCTTCGAAAAGAATCGGTTTTTCTCTTTCGAAGCGAATATCGTCGAAACTGTAAGAGATAGAAAAAAAATGTTTGACATGAAAGCTGCATGGTATCAAGAGTACTTTATAGTAAAAAAAGAAAAAAATTTTTAATTTTTTTGTTTATTCTCATCACTTGATTTAAAAAATTTTTATTTTTTTTTTATATAATAAAAAGAAAGATTATTTTAAGACGAATTCAACCATGTGTGATAAAGTTATTTCCCAAAGTATCATTTTTGAGAAATAAATAAAAATGCCTCTATATGCGCGTTATCCGTATTTCTTCACGCAGTATATTTTTGATGCTGCGCATTTTCGCATAATACAAAATAACGATGTAAGCATATTTATTTTTGGAACTCCGCGTCATCTAGTCATAGAAATTTTTATCGCACTTTACGCTAGATAATACTTACGTAATGTCTGAATGAGAATATAGTGTCGAGATTTTTTAAGTTGGTAAATATTTGGAATGACACAATAGAGGTCGAAACGTGTTATTGAAACGACAAGTTTCATCGGCTTAATTAAAATGTATTTTTTATGCGTATGCGTGCCATATGCGTGCGTACTAGGATGATTGTTATTTTAACAATTTTTGAAATTTAATCGGAATACTCCCTAAAGTGATTTAATATTTCGAATAAATTATACATCAAAACCTATTTTATTTTGTAAAAAATGAACAAATATAAAATATTATGTAAATAAAAAATTCAAATCACTTAAATTGATCTTTTAACGAAACTCATTTCTAAACGATATATGTTTACGCGAGAATCGGCCGCGCAGAATGGGACGTATGGGAAGGTGTGGCACATTATAATAGGGGGCACTATGTGACATCCGCTTTTTTTCAAAACGCAGCAAGTGCAGCCGAATATTAATCTACACAAAAAAAAGCGTCACGGAAAAAGTAACTTTGATGAAGTTTCAGAAACCTATGAGAAAAATCATAGTGACGGGAAGAATAAACCAGGAAGAATAAAGAAACCAGACTGAAAATTTGTTTTTCAGTTTATAATTGTGTTTATCAAGGTAAGACATTTCTTTTGATGACACAAGTATATATGGCCTGTTATAAGATTATGTTTAGTATTTCATTTAAGACTATGATCATATTAATGCAAGCCTCGTATCACTGTCCATGTGAAATTAAGTGACGAAGGTACGCTTAGGACAATATATAACAGTGATTCTTGGGATACATTGTGACATGTTTATTTCGTCTTCACTGTTATCATTGTTTTTTTATTGATTATTAATTAAGCATGGTTCAACACAGAGGAAAAAAGACTTACATATGATTTTATCAAAACTCACTGTGAATGGAACAAAAAGGCAACGATCCCATTACGAATTTGCTATTAATTTTTCTCTTAATTTTAAGTTAATAAGCAAAAGATTTTAATCTGTTTAAATTAAGAACGTTCTAATTTGATTTTGTAACTATTTCTACGGGTAAAAAGGACATCTTATTTTGTTTTATTTTAATATTTTAATATATTTTTAATATTTGTCATATGTTTATTATTTTAATATATTTTATTAAGATTGAGCCAAAAAGAGCTTATAATCTAAGTGATTAATACAAACTCGTTATAATATTAATTTTTTTAATGTACTTTTTATGTATTATAGGTACGTATTATGCTTATATGTCTTGTATGTGTCTTAGTGAAAATTCTATTTTTAATATTAAAACAATTAAGAAATTTTATTTTTGGTTTTTCATTGTATCTATAACTTTTAAAAATACAATAATAAACCTTCAAACGTATTAAAATGACTTTCTTTTGGCCTTGTAACACTCAATCTTGGGCCAGTCACATACTGCCCAAGACCTATCACATAATGCTCTATATAGATAGTATATGACAAATGGGGTACTACGTGACAATAACTATTTCTCAATTGCTTATAAAGATTAAAATTATCAAATTAAATTAAAATTACCATTATTCTTTGTTGAAAGGGGAATCTTTTCATCTCATAAAGGTGTAGGGACGCTCTAATGCTCTCTTGGTACCGCCCACCCGTAGAAAAACATGGGAACATGAATATAAATTTTTAAATACGAATGCGCGTTTCTTGTGCTTATGCTCTATTGAGATTGGCTTAACTTTGCGCATATGCTCGCGGAATTCCTCTATGAAAATTTGCGGACTAGGAGTGAAGTCGTACGGCAGTATAAATTCTCCGGGGACGCGCAGTGTCGTTCCATAGACAAATTCCGCAGGCGATGCACCGGTGTCAAGGCGGACATGAGTACGCAGACCTAATAATACGGTCGAAAGTACTCGTGACCAACCTTCATTAGCATGACACATAATAGCAGCTTTTAAGCTTCTATGCCACCGCTCGATCATACCGTTCGAAGCGGGATGATACGCCGTGGTACGAATTCGTTGACAGCCAATCAGCTGAAGAAGTGCCG